CCATTAAGCACAGAAACCCACATCGGAAGAGGCGCGGGGGGGGGGGGGGGGGGTGGCCATTTTCCAAAAGAGGGGTATCAATTGGCGGGCCGCAGATAGAAAGAAGCGCAACAGACTTTTCTTTTGTATTGCCAATGAGCCCGGTAATATAGAGAGTAGAGCAATCTCTGGTGAAGGGGCCAAGCACTCACCATAGACCCTGTTATATTTAATAGGACCAGTTTTAGTGTTGCCAAACAACAAAAAAGAAAAATTCCCGGCTCAACTTGCCAACCAGCCCGCAAACAAATTGAATTAATATGCAAAGTGGGGAAAATGATTTACCTCCTATGCATGGGATACTTATCTGATACATGGGATACTTATCCCCATGACTAAGCTCCATGGGTGGAGTGAAACATGTTGGGGGCGTTGCCTGGTTGGAGCCTGGGCTGAGGATGGCATACACCTTCTTTTGGGGTTTTGCAAAGATGTGCAATTTCCAGGACTTTTCCTTTTTCCATTAGATGTCTAAAGCTGGGACAAGCTCTGTCCTTGTCTGCACTCCAAGCTGTTACTACATAAGAGGACCCAGCAGGGTTTTGAGAGGCACCTGTCAATTTTGCTTGGATGTTCAACCAGCAGTCCAGTCTCTCTGTTCAGCCAACAGCCACTTCCTTTTCTTGCCCTATCTCCTTTTAGACTCTCCTGTCTCTTCCTCTCAGCATCTCTTCTTGCTTTGTTGCAGCATCCACTCACTTACCTTCCAGGATCAACCCAGGCCCAGCCAAAATGGCTGCTCCTTGCACTGGAGACACTCCATAGATGAGCATTGCAAAGCGGTCTCCTTAAAGATGACTGCTGCTCTTCTGCATTAATGAATATTCAGTTTATCCCTGTCCACAATGAAAAAGGAAAATACAGTAGCAAGGAAGAATTTTCACAGCAGTTATCAGCTACATCAGCATTTGTAAAGTTTTCAGTGTGCTTTAGGCAGCTTTCTTAAAGGCTGAATCACTCTCCTATATGGAGATGCTACAGCTGAACTCCTCACATTACTGCAGCTTTGTAATCATTAATACAGCAATAAATGTTTTTTTTAAGTGCAAGTACCTGCATGTGACTTGGTGTCAGACTGCTGCGGTTCCTGTACAGCAGGGCTCAGACTAGGAGAGGAAGAAGCAGCACAATAAGCAATTATGTGTGCAAGGAACATACTGATAGGTGGAGAGAGCAAAATGACAAAGTGATGAACTCATTAGTGTACTGCTTTTCCACTCACTGTCCATTCAAATCACAGGGGAGGGTAGGAGACCTGCAAGTATAGCTTAATTGGATCACAGAAAACAGCCAGATAGGACTCTGCTATGTGGAAGTGTGTGAGTAAATCTCAGAACTGGATGGACAGAAATACAAATAATTGACAGGTGAAACAGCTTCCTTATATGTATTTTATCTGTGTATTTAGTTTCTTGCCTGGAGCGCAGTTTTAAACATGGATGTTCAAGAGAGTACTGATTGTCACTTTTAACAAGCCTCCAGAAAGCTTCAACTGGCTTTCAACAAGCTTCAGCACAACATGAAACCTGCTGAATGTCTGCTGAATGTCTGTTATCAGTTTGTTAAAAGTGATAGAAAGCATTTCCACATGATTTGTGTTTAACATCCCCAAACTGAAGCTGAAGGTTCACCTTAAGGCTTTTCAAAGCTTGCAGAAAGTTTTATGAATACTTTGTGAAACTTTGTTGTACACACTACTCTTATACAAGGGTCCTTCAAAACGTTTCCTCACTTAATATATTGTGGGGTTAGCTTAGGTGGGGGATTTCCTTCCTTGGGAAAAAGGTAGACCGCACAGCAGGCTTTCTTCAAAATCTGACTGGTTGTCAGTTTTATTTAAAAGGTTTGCAAAAATATCAAAATAAACAGAACATCAAAATAAACCCTTGCCATCCAGGCACTAACTAAACAGGAGACGTTTCCTCTCTCAGAGGTGAAGGGCTTCTCCCTGTCACCCAAAACAAAAGCAAACCTTCTCTTGTAGGTATAGTGCGCACGCACGCGCACGCGCACGCACGCACCTCTCTCAGAATACCTCTCTGAGTCCCAGGCCAAGAGCGACTCCTTGCTCCAGTCCTGCCCTTTTTATATCGCCTGTTGGTGGTCATCAGTGGAGCCCAAACTCTGGTCCGGACCCACCTCCTCAACTGTGGCCCCAAAAACCCGGAGTGGACTCCACCTAAACTGTCAGGTATGACCGTATGCGAGGTGACACATAGCGTCCCTCTAACACCTCGCCGTTCATACTGTCACAATAAATATATATATATATATATATACCCTGGCCATGCAGGATCTCCTGCATGGTAGGGGTTGGGGAAAGACCCTGTAAAATAATTGCTAAGAGAATTCATGGAAAAAGTCGCTTACGAGTGACGGTCCATGCAATCGCCAAGGGTTGCATACGACTGAATGGATAGATAGATAGAGATATATATATATACCGGTATACTCTGTATGTGCGGAAACTTTTTGAAGACCTCTCGTACACCTGAAGCTCATGCATATAAGTCCTTACAGTGAGCATGTAGCCCAGGGGCCTAGTCCCCCTCAAAGCTGGGATTCTCGTTGCCACATGGATGGTAGACATGTGCAATTTGTTTCCTAACGAATCGAAATTCAGACAAAATGTTCATTATTCAGAGATTCTGATGTATCTGAATTTCCAAATCAAAATTGTACCGAATTTCAACTAATCCCAAATAAATTATAACGAAAACAAATTATCCAAATCTGAATTTGAAAATGAATTAGAATTTTTATTATTATATTATTATTATAAAGGATTTATAGCGCCAACAGTTTGAGCATTGCTTTACAAAATGAATTTGAAAATGAATTTGAATTTGAAAATGAATTTGAAATGGAAACATATTGCGATGAATACAGCAAGGTATAAAAGTGAAATAAAATGAGGGTTCCTACTTAGGCTGCTTTACAGAATAAAATAGAAAATAATAGGATGGAATAAAACAGAATAGAATAGAATGTAATGGAATAGAATAGAACAGAACAGAATAGAAAAGAAAAGAACAGAAAAAAAGAAAAGAAAGAATAAAACAGACTAGAATAAAATAAAAGAATAGAATAGTGTTCTTGGATTATTCCAACACCTGATCCTGGTTTGTCAGCGATTCCCAATTCAATAGATAATATGTAGCTATGCAGAGACCAGACAGACTCAAGGAACTTGATTTAATTGAACTGCTTTAATTTTTGTCACTTGAGATTAAGTACTTACAATGAAAAGTGAAAATAAGTGAGCGCTAAATTAACGTAATACAATAGCGGCTATGCACCAAAGGCACCATATAAGACCTTCAAGTAAATAGTAATAAAATGAGGGGGTGCAGCGCTAATAAAATTCCTAAAGATGATACATAAATAAAAACAGTAAATTCATACAGAAATAATTAAGTGACATAGTGCAAATATGTATGCCACTAAAATAAGTGGTTTATATCGTGAGAGATATGTGACAAATTGAATAAAATAAGTCCAAAAAGTGACAACGTGAGTAAGATCCCAGATGGTCTTGAGGCGTCCAATGACTGGAACCGTGGATGAGGTGAGAAAATAAAGTAAAGATTGCGCACTCACCAGATACGCAATCTATATGCCATTTGTATATCAAAGACACATCAGATGCCCTCACATAGGTCTGGTCAGATCTGGTCATGTATCCTTCACTGCCTCATGATCCATTCTCCGGGTTCATACTCAAGGATGACCGCTCTGCAATAGTAGTGAGCTCCCACAGGGGCTCTCTGTTTACCCTGCTTTCCCGGTCGCTGCTGAAAAAAAAAAATCATGAGGCAGTGAAGGATACATGACCAGATCTGACCAGACCTATGTGAGGGCATCTGATGTGTCTTTGATATACAAATGTGCATATAGATTGCGTATCTGGTGAGTGAGCAATCTTTACTTTATTTTCTCACCTCATCCACGGTTCCAGTCATTGGACGCCTCAAGACCATCTGGGATCTTACTCACATTGTCACTTTTTGGACACTTATTTTATTCAATTGGTCACATATCTCTCACGATATAAACCACTTATTTTAGTGGCATACATATTTGCACTATGTCACTTTATTAATTATTTCTGTATGAATTTACTGTTTTTATTTATGTATCATCTTTGGGAATTTTATTAGCGCTGCACCCCCTCATTTTATTACTAAGATTAAGTACTTAGATTGACGTATATAATGTAAACTTGTGTCAAGATATGAAATTAACAAAAAGAGATGGAGATAGGTGATACAGAAAGCATAGAGTGGATTGTCTTGTTATCATGATTCATCAAGAAGTCATCATAAAAGGATGTTTATTTCTTGTGGCTTGGGGTGACATTCAAACATAGCGTTCCAGATGCCAATTTCAGGAACCTGCTTTGCCACAAGTTCTGCAAACACAAATTCATAGAAAAACATTAGAATTATTTTTTGCAGTATATCATTGTACATATAAAGGAAAGGAATAGCTGAAAAACCCTCTCCCCCCCAGAAGACTCCTGGGATGTATGATGTCCTTTGCCTAGGCAATCTAAAACAAGGAAGTAATTGAAGAAACATATTAAAACTATTAATTTAAAACAAGTAACTATGATATATAATAGACAGGACAGCGCTACAGACAATGAAAAGAATAAAAGTCCATAAAAACTCTATACCAAATCCTCTGTACATATCACAACTCCTGCTGGACTTTGATAAATGTAGATCATAGGGAATGATATCATAGTAAAAGAACTAGAAGGAGCGAATTAAAAAAATTCGATTCGGCTGATTCGCCGAATTTGCGGAATAAATTCGATTCGATGCGAATTTATTCGCTGCGAATTTAACTTATTAAAAGGGTTTCTAGGCAGAGAGCCTTTATATTAGTGCAGAACACTGTACCTTTAATTTAAATGCCCTTGGAGTCTGCTGGGGAAGAGAAATAATACTGTCAGTCAGTATGACATGCAGATGAGTGCCGTCGATCTTAGAATCACCGCACACTTCACTCATTTTGGCAGTCACGGGGCCAAAACCAGAGTGTGGAGCCACAGTGTGGCGGTTGAGGCAGCAGCAATGGAGGCCATACAGCACCCTATGACAAAATGGAACCCACAGCAGTGTAGAGAGGAGACCTGAAAGTGGCACATGGCAGATTGTACACTGGAGACATGCAGCAAAGGGAGGCCGTACAAGGGACCCATGACACACTCTGGGATTCTACACTAATGCCTCTCACAAACACTGAGTACTTTCCCCCGGGACATGGAGGCGGTATCAGGGGCCCATGATCAGATTACGGCCAACTGGCAGCAGCATGAGGAGGGGGTACGGGGGCCCATTAAAGAAGTAACGGCGAAGCGTAAGCAGCTTAAATTGAAGGCCATATCAGAGGCCTATGTTTTATTGGAAAGTCTCCCCCCTGAGATTAAAGCAGAAGAAGAAGAAGAAAGGATGAGGACACGAAGAAGATGGGAAAAGAAGATAGGATGAAAAGATCTATCTAATACTCAAGAAGAAGACAGGATAAAGGATGAGGATTATAAAGAAAAGAAGAAGAAGATAGGAAGGACGAGGAAAAAGAAGAAGAAGAAGTTTAGGATGAGGATGAGGATGAATGAAGAAGGTTGAGAATAGGATGAAGTGTATGACAGAGGATGAGTGTTGAAGCAAGAAGATGAATGGGGAAAAGAAAATGGTTGAGAGAGGATGTGGAAGAGAGGCACGGTGTTTGATGATGATGGTGAAGAAGAATGAAGAAAAAGGTGAGGAAGAAGAAAGAAATAGGATGATTGATTGATGAATAACTGAAAGAGGATGATAGGATGAAGAAGAAGAGGATGAGGATATGATGAAGAGAGGATGAGGATGAAATAGAATGAAATGAAGGCGAGGATGAGGATGAGAAAAGAGTTGATGAAGAAGAAGAAGAAGGAAGAGGATAATAGGAAGAAGAAGAAGAAGAAGAAAAGAAGAAGAAGAGGATGAAGAAGAAGAAGAAGAGGATGAGGATGAAGAAGAAGAAGAAGAGGATGAAATGAGGAGAAGAAGAAGAAGAAGAGGATGAGGATGATGATGAATAAGAGAGAAGAAGAGGATGAGGATGAAGAAGGGATGAGGAGGGGGGAGGAGAAGGTGGAAGAAGAAGGAAGGGTGAGGATGAAGAAGAAGAAGAAGAAAAGAAGAAGGGATGAGGATGAAGAAGAGAAGATGAGAAGAATGAGATGAGATGAAGAAGAAGAAGAAGAAGATGAGGAGAAGAAGAAGAAGAGGATAAGAAGAGGGTGAGATAAGGATGAAAAGAAGAAGAAGAAGAAGAAGAGGATGAGGATGAAGAAGAAGAAGAAGAAGAAGAGGATGAGGATGAAGAAGAGGATGAGGATGAAGAAGAAGAGGAAGAGGATGATGGTGAGGAAGAAGAAGAAGAAGAATCAGAAGAGGAAGAAGAGGAGGATGAGGATGATGAAGAAGAAGAAGAAGAAGAAGAAGAAGAAGAAGAAGAAGAAGAAGAAGAGGAGGATGAGGATGAAGAAGAGATGAGGATGATGAAGAAGAAGAAGAGGATGAGGATGAAAAGAAGAGGATGAAGGATTTTGTCTCCAAGAAGCCACCAGAATGAGATGAAGAAAATATAGTCGTCTTCTGAAATTGAAATTTTAGAATTTTGAAATTCAAATTTGAAGAAAAGAGGAGAAGATGCAAAACAAATCTGAATATACAAAAGAAGAAGAAAATGAATCATTCTAAATAAGAATGAGGATGAAACAAAATTAAGAAGAAGAAGAAGAAGAAGAAGAAGAGGCATCTGAGACCACAAGAAGAAAAAAGTAGCCATGAAATATAAGAAGAATTCCAGTCCAGCAAAAAAGTGTATCTGCAGAGAGCTCCGCTATTTCTGACAGTTCATTCTGACAGTTCCTTCACATTTTACGGCGGTTGAAACATTGTATCTATTTGTTTCCGAATAAAAACATCTGTATCCTAAATGGAAACAAATAGATACAATGTTTCAACCGCTGTAAATGTGAAGGAACTGTCAGAGAACTGTCAGAAAATAGCGGAGCTCTCTGCAGGGACACTTTTTGCCGGCTGTAGAAGGGATGAAAATCGGCCGATCGGGAAAATTCGAGTTTCGTAATCCGAATATAATAATTTTCGGATTCGGCTACGCGAATCGAATTTTTTCCTAAAATTCTAAACGAATCCTCTGTACATCGCCAAGTTCTGGATTCGCTCATGTATCATAGTAAAATGTAACCATTCATCAGAATGACATATGAAACATTCAATTGAAAGTCTCAGTAAAGAAAGCTCCCTTCCGTACAAGTGTTCAAATAAAACAGTAAACTGGAATCACCTAGTGAGGAATCTTCGCCTTCAGTCTCTCACCTGATGGTTAGACCCAGGGGCGGACTGACAACTAATAGGGCCCCCGGGCAATAGGGGATCATGGGGCCCCTGTGTCCTTGCCCAAACTGAAAAAAGCCTATGAAAAAGGTACCAGGGGCATCTCATGGGGCCCCCTACTGACCCCGGGCCTTCGGGCAGTTCCCGAGTTTCCAAATGGTCAGTCCGCCCCTGGTTAGACCTACTGAGCTTCGGTCTGACCATGCTGTTACCCCTATTGTCCCTGGGTTATGGGGATATCCTTCAGCTATAGGTCCTCCAAATTGTCGATAAAAGGCTATTTGGAGGACCAATAACCAGCTTCTAGTCCTCTGCTGCTGGTCACATGTTCAAAATAAAAAAACAGCCTTTGGGATACAAAGTAAAAATAAATTAACACACAAGTCAGGTGCAATGCTTTGGCCAATCGCAGTGCATGATGACGTCACAAGGGGGTGGGTAGCCCTGCTCACAAGGGGGTGGGTAACCCTGCCCCCTTGTGACATCATCACAGCATTTAAGAACTGTCATCCCAGTGCAGCTGTCAAATGGAGTGGAGCGTTTACTCTTTCTTTTTTTGGGTTGGGCATCGTGATTGGCATTGGATCTACTTCGGGGGGGGGGTACTTTCTTTTATTCTTGTTTTTAATAAAGGACTTCTCAAAGACTGTCTCCCGTCATTTTTTACACTACAATTTTTTTTTGTGAATGAGTAGCAGTACTATGTACTTCATACTCATTCACATAGGGATCTGGGGGCTTCCAGATTCCAATAAGCCCCCGCCCACAGACCCCCACAACCACCACCCAACCAACATGGGCACAAGGTGCTTTGGGGGGGAGTCCCCCTGTCCAAAGCACCCCCCCATGTTGAGGGCATGTGGCCTAGTATGGTTCAGGAGGGGGGGGGGGTGGCGCTCGTTCAGCTTCATGCTCGAATAAGGGTCTGATATGGATTTTGGGGGGACCCCATGCCATTTTTTTTTAATTTTGATGTGGGGGTTCCCCTCAAAATCCTTACAAGCAAAAGGCCTTGGTATGAATGGGGGGGGGGGGGGGTCCCTATGCATTTTTTAATTGCAGAGCAATCCCGGCAATTCTTTTTACATTCAGCTATCAGTGGGGAACCCCACTGACAGCTGAAACATTAAAGAATGTTTTTAGTAGCTGTGCGGCATCTTACCTCATACTCAGATGCAGTAAGATACCACTTAGTGAATTGTCCCCTCTGTTCAAAGTTCGTGGTCGAACTTTCATTAGGTTTGAATGTTCAACCACAAACCGAACAGGGGGTTGTTCAGCCCATCACCAATGACTGTTATAAATATGCACTTTCTGCAACCACATAACAGAAGTTGAGGGGATGGGACTCTATCAAGGGTGTGGGGAGAGAAAATTTAACAGGAGAAAATAAGTGGAAGAAATGTTGACATTTTCAGAATGTATGATGGCATAGTAGTCTTGTCTTAATCACTTGCTGTCTGCCTGCTGTTTATAAATGGCAGGGCGGTGGCAGTGCAGGGGCGGGTTGCCGTTCATAAACGGCACCCGTCTTTTCTAGCTGTGCACGCTCCCTGGGAGCGCGCAGCACCGCGATCCAGGGCCTGCTGTGTCCTCCGGACACAGTGAAACACCGATCGTCAGACAGGACCTCTGTACGAAGTCCCGATCATGTGATCACTGATTGGCCAATCAGTGATCACATGCAAAGTAGTAAGCAAGATGACACTTGTGACATCATTGCTTACTACGTGTGAAATCTGCGAATGATCACAGAGGTCACATGGTACAAGGCTATTCACAACAGCCTTGTACCATGTGACAAGCTGTGACCAATCACAGCTCACTCAGTACTTCTCAATGACTGCAAGAATGCAGACAGAGAGAAAGAGAAATGATTGCTTTTACATCCTATATGGGTGTAAAAGCAATCAGTGTAAAAAAAAAAAAAAAAAAATCTTCATCACCCCCCACAAGTAGTACAGTGTCACCATGGTGACACTGTACTGCTAGGGTGACAGTATGTAAAAAAAAATAAAAAAAATAAAAAATAATAATATAAAAAAATAAAATTAAAATGTAAAAAAAAATGTTTAAAAATTATAATTTTAACTAACTTGGATAATAACTTTAACTAATTTGATTTTTTTTTTTTACTAAAAAAATAACAGAATAAATTTTGGCCAAGATTTATGATGAAATATTATTTATTTGCAAAATTTTATAAAAAAAAAAAACTTTTTTTCAAAATTTTTGGACGTTTTCATTTACATAGCAAAAAAAATAAAAATCCCAGCGGTGAATAAATACCACCAAAATAAAGCTTTATCTGTCTCAAAAAAATGGTAAAAAATTCATATGGGTACAGTATTGCACGACCGCGCAATTGTCATTCAAAGTGTGATAGCGCTGAAAGCTGAAAATTGCCCTGGACAGGAAGGGCGTAAAAGTGTCCGGACAGGAAGTGGTTAAGTTATACGTAGGGCGTCTGATGGCACATGCTCCTAAAAGATGTTGGTGAGTATCAAATAACTGCTTTATAAATAAACCCCATGTGTATTTTTACACTTTATAGGAGACATAAGAAAGATTTTCTTTACTTTTTTAACTGCTGAATACTTATTCAACTGCAGTAGTTACTGGAAATGTAACCTTTTGCAAAAAAGAACCTCTAATCAGGGAGCCATCTACCTATTTACAGTAACAGCTTTTTGCAAGTGCTAACCAGCTATTAGCCACAGTTTGCTTTACACACTGAATCGTATAAAAGGCCAGGCTAACATTTCGGAGTATATGAAGTTATAACGTGTTTGTTATTTTCAATGTAATACAAGAAAACAACAGCTGTTTTTGCCTGTTGGAGATACTCTTCAATGCTGTCCACTCAACTCTAAAAAATAGCATGTTATAGAAAAAGTCTAAATCCATAAACACCCTTCGGCTTTAGTGAACTTATTATTGTGTATATAAGAGGTTTTCTGGACCAAGAGATAGACAATTCTTACTAAGAGTACATTCTTCACTGGGAGTGAGCGATGGTCCTTCTAAGGTCC